CAACATATCCGAAAGAGGGTTGTACAGCCTCCGCTTGAAAACGTCCAGCGAAGGAGCATCCACCACCTCCCGAGGCAGTCTGTTCCACTGCTCAACCACTCTGACAGTCAGGAAGTTTCTCCTGATCTTTAGCCGGTATCGACTCCCTTGTAATTTCCACCCATTCGATCTAGTCTTGCAATACAGAGCAAGGGAGAATAGATCCGCTCCATCTTCTACATGACAGCCCTTCAGATACTTCGAGACTGCAATCCTGTCCCCTCTAAGCCTCCTCTTTCCCGAGCTAAACAGACCCAACTCTTTCAGCCTTTCCTCATAAGACTTGGAATCCAACCCTCTCGCCATCCTGGTTGCCCTTCTCTGGACACGCTCGAGCTTGTCAACATCCTTCCTAAAATAGATACTTTACAAAATTGTGGGACCTTCTGACAATGGACAAAATATCGGACTCTATAAAAAGGATAGAAGAACAGGGACTCACTACAAATCTCTTGGCCAAATGGGCACCGTTTCTGGATTACGCCCACAATACACACTCATCGCTTTTGTGTCCTGTGCCTACTAAATATAAAGAAATATTTACCTGTTTGTAATGTTTATCCTGGTTGTAGGAAAAGAATCAGTTGTTAATTGTACATACTTCTTCTTGGTCAAACCCGTACTGGAACTTGGGATAAACAGTGATAGGAAACAACATGTTGAGATAACCACCTAGTTCAGTGGTGGCGAACCTACGGCACGGGTGCCAGAGGTGGCACTCAGAGCCCTCTCTGTGGGCACGCGTGCCATTGCCCCAGCCAGGCCCAGACCATCATTAAAGTGTCGAATTCTCTGCCAAATAATTTTAAGTAAACGAAAGCATTTGGGATTGCTTTCCTTACTTTGTTTGGATCATCTTAAGTTAATGTAGGAGTTGTTTTTTCTAAAGTAAAACCTCAGTATTCAGGTTAAACTGCCGTGTTGGCACTTTGTGATAAATAAGTGGGTTTTGGGTCACAGTCTGGGCACTCGGTCTCTAAAAGGTTCGCCATCACTGACCTAGTTTATATTGTTTCTGTTAAATGAAAGTTGTTATTGTTGGTTTTGGGTTTTTTTGTTTCTAAGTATTATAAAAAAGTTAATAAAAACTATTTTAAAAAAACAAAACATCCTTCCTAAAATGTGGTGCCCAAAACTGGACACGGTACTCCAGGTGAGGCCTGACCATAGCAGAATAGAGCGGAACGTCCACCTCCCGTGATCTGGACACAATGCTTCTGTGAATGCACCCTAAGATTGCATTCGCTTTCTTCGCAGCCGCATCACACTGCAGGCCCATGTTTAGCTTGTGAAAGCTCCTCCCCTGCCACACATGTTGTTAGCCCTTCAGGTGCTCCTGGACTCTTGCTCTTTTCTACTGGTACGGACAGACGAACGCGGCTGCCCAATCTTAATCTATCGCAATTAACTGAGACGCTGACTCTCTTTAGCCCAACTAGGGCTGTTTTTAATGAAATTCAATTCTCACCGGCAGGGGTGGGGTGGGTGGTTGGGGACCAACAGTTCCTGGATGGAAGGTTTAAAGGCTCCAACCTGGAATATTTGGGCTGTGCAGCAGTTCCTGTGTTCAGCTCCACCAGGTAACAAGGCATCTGTGGTCTACGAGGCTGTAGTTGTGCGACTGAGGAGAGTTCATCCGGCCCCCTTATTGACAACTACAGGGGAAGATCCTCCTCTGTGGGGATGTTGAGAACAATTTCCATATCAGGGGTGCATCTGGTGGGAAACAGCAAAGAAGAGATTGGGGTGTGTGTGCTCAGATCAGTGTCTAAGCTTCCAGGGAAGGCACCGTATTCAACCAATGAATGAATAAGCGATCAGGTGCTTGGCACGCAGAAAGACCCCTGCCTGGGGCTGAGACCCTGGAGAGCTGCAACAGGCTGGAGCAGACAACCTGCAGTTAGATGGACCCAAGGCGTGGCTCAGTGGCAGAGCATCTGCTTGGCATCCGGAAGGTCCCCGGTTCAATCCCCGGCATCTCCAGTTAAAAGGACCAGGCAGGAGGTGATGGGAAAGACCTCCACCTGAGGCCCTGGAGAGCTATGGGAAGGGGCTGTGGCTCAGTGGAAGAGCCTCTGCCTGGCATGCAGAAGATCCCAGGTTCAGTCCCCGGCATCTCCAGTTAAAAGGACCAGGCAGGAGGTGATGGGAAAGACCTCCACCTGAGACCCTGGAGAGCTATGGGAAGGGGCTGTGGCTCAGTGGAAGAGCATCTGCTTGGCACGCAGAAGGTCCCAGGTTCAACCCCTGGCATCTTCAGTTAAAAGGACCAGGCAGTAGGTGATGGGAAAGACCTTAGCCTGAGACCCAGTCAAGAGGGGCTGTGGCTCAGTGGTAGAGCATCTGCTTGGCATGCAGAAGGTCCCAGGTTCAATCCCCAGCATCTCCAGTTAACAGGAAGTAAAGGATGTGAAAGACCCCAGCCTGAGACCCTGGAGAGCTGCTGCCAGTCTGAGTATGCTGTGCTGACCTGTATCAGACCAGTGGTCCATCTAGTCCAGCATCCCGTCTCACACGGTGGACATGTTCCTCTGAAGGGCCAATAACAGGGCAGAGAGGCCGAGGCCTTCATAAGAACATCAGAAGAGCCCTGCTGGATCAGGCCAGTGAGGGTCCATCCAGTCCAGCATCCTGTCTCACACAAGGGCCAGCCAGTTCCTCTGGAGGGCCAACAACAGGGCATAGAGGCTGAGGCCTTCATAAGAACATCAGAAGAGCCCTGCTGGTTCAGACCAGTGGTCCACCTAGTCTTCTGGAGTTCTGGCCCCGCTGGTGGACCTCCTGATGGCCACTGTGTGACACAGAAGAGTGCTGTACCATTGGCCTGATCCAACACTGATGTCTCTTATAGTCTTATGAAGGAAAAGAGGAAGACCCCACCTGAGAGAGATCCGCTCAGTCACGGAAGGCACAGCCCTCGGTTTGCAAGACCTGAGCAAGGCTGTTGATGAGAGGCTGTTTTGGAGGCCATAAATTCATAAGGTCACCGGAAACAACTCAATGGGACTTGACACACCCACAAACCTACATAGCTCGTGACTGTTTTGGACCCTGATTTTGTCTATTAGCTAACTCCATCGCCTTCTCTTCAGTGGGTTCCTTTGCTAACATGGTGTGAAATGTGTTGTGGGGAAAGGGGAGGTGCCTACAGGATGCACAGGGGGCCCAGGGCACGCTTGGCCAAACTTGTGGCTCCGGCCACAGCTGAAGGAACTTACATGGGCCTCTGGAGCAGGACGTCCTCGAAGATCAGGTCACGCGGGTGCCGGACGTACTCGCGAAGTGCCGCGGTGTGCTTCCGCAACACTTCGATCTCTTTCCCCAGGTCGTCAATTATCTGAAAAGGAGTTCAGAAAGAAGCCAGCAGGTCAGGAGTTGCGACGCTCCCCTGGGGAATTCATTCCGTTCCTCCTGGAGGTTCCTCAAGGACAACCGTCAGATCCCACCCGGGCCACCTTCAGCCCTTCTGAAGAAGGAGGCCTGTCTCAGTGAAGGTCCATCCAGTCCAGCATCCTGTCTCACACACTGGCCAACCAGTTCCTCTGGAGGGCCAACAACAGGGCAGAGATGCTGAGGCCTTCCCCTGAGAAGAACATCAGAAGAGCCCTGCTGGATCAGACCAGTGGTCCCTCTAGTCCAGCATCTTGTCTCACACTGTGGCCAACCAGTTCCTCTGGAGGTCCAACAACAGGGCAGAGAGGCTGAGGCCTTCATAAGAACATCAGAAGAGCCCTGCTGGGTCAGACCAGTGGTCCATCTAGTCCAGCATCCTGCCTCACACAGGATAAGAGGATGTTTTGGAGGCCATAAATGGGAATTGACACACCCACAAACCTACATAGCTAGTGACTGTTTTGGACCCCGATTCTGTCTATTAGTTAACTCCATCGCATTCTCTTCAGTGGGTTCCTTTGCGAACATGATGTGAAATGCATTGTGGGGAAAAAGGAGGTGCCTACAGGAGGCACAGGGCACCCAGGGCACGCCCGGCCAAACTTGTGGCTCCGGCCACAGCCGAAGGAACTTACATGGGCCTCTGGAGCAGGACGTCCTCGAAGATCAGGTCACGCGGGTGCCGGACGTACTCGCGAAGTGCCGCGGTATGCTTCCGCAAGACTTCGATCTCTTTCCCCAGGTCGTCAATTATCTGAAAAGGAGTTCAGAAAGAAGCCAGCAGGTCAGTAGTTGTGACCCTCCCCTGGGGAATTCATTCTGTTCCTCCTGGAGGTTCCTCAAGGACAACCGTCAGATCCCACCCGGGCCACCTTCAGCCCTTCTGAAGAAGGAGGCCTGTCTCAGTGAAGGTCCATCCAGTCCAGCATCCTGTCTCACACACTGGCCAACCAGTTCCTCTGGAGGGCCAACAACAGGGCAGAGATGCTGAGGCCTTCCCCTGAGAAGAACATCAGAAGAGCCCTGCTGGATCAGACCAGTGGTCCAGCCAGTCCAGCCTCCTTTCTCACACAGTGGCCAACCAGTTCCTCTGGAGGGCCAACAACAGAGAACAGAGACTGAGGCCTTCATAAGAACATCAGAAGAGCCCTGCTGGGTCAGACCAGTGGTCCATCTAGTCCAGCATCCTGCCTCACACAGAGGTCAACCAGTTCCTCCGGAGGGCCAACAACAGGGCCTAGCGGCCGAAGCCTTCATAAGAACATCAGAAGAGCCCTGGTGGGTCAGACCAGTGATCCATCCAGTCCAGCATCCTGTCTCACACAAAGGCCAGCCAATTCCTCTGGATGGCCAACAACAGGGCCTACAGGCCGAGGCCTTTATAAGAACATCAGAAGAGCCCTGCTGGATCATACCAGTGGTCCATCTGTGGAGCATCCTATCTCACACAGTGGCTAGCCAGTTGCTCTGGAGAGCCAATAACCCAGCCTAGAGGCTGAGGCCTTTCTAAGAACATCTGAAGAGCCTATGGTCCATCTATTCCAGCATCCTGTCTCACACAGAAGCCAACCAGTTCCTCTGGAGGGCCAACAACAGGGCAGAGAGGCCGAGGCCTTTGTAAGAACATCAGAAGAGCCCTGCTGGGTCACACCAGTGGTCCATCTAGTCCAGCATCCTGCCTCACACAGTGGACAACCAGTTCCTCTGGAGGTCCAACAACAGGGCAAGAGTCTGATTCAGTAGACGGCGTTCATGCGTTTCCTAGCTGGATAGATACCCGGTTCCAAGCTAGACACCCTCCTTCTTCTATGTATTGTACAAGTTACCTGCTGGACTTGTTCTGGGTTCCAGCGACAAGATGATTCGAAGGGAAGCTGCTTAAATGATGGAGCAACCACCAGCTAGTGTGAGACGGGCTAAGACCTCACCAGGCCCTACAAGCTGCAGATGTTCTGGGAGTCCCCACCTTCTTTTGCATCTCGATCTGTCGCCGCAGCTCCTGATTGTTCCTTGCCATCTGCTGGAGGCCGCTCTGATACTCTGACACCTTCTCCTGCACAGGGGGAGGATATTTATGAGCACATTTGAGATTGCCTTACACTGAATCATCCCCCTGGTCCATCAAGGTCAGCATTGTCCACTTAGACTGGAAGCAGCTCTCCAGGGTCACAGGCAGAGGTCTAACACATCAGAGAGCCAGTTTGGTGTAGTGGTTCAGTGCGCGGACTCTAATCTGGGAGAAGAGCTCTCTCAGTCCCGCCTCCCTCACAGGGTGTCTGTTGCGGGGAGGGGAAGGGAAAGGAGTTTGTAAACCGCTCTGAGACTCCTTTGGGTAGTGAAGGGCGGGGTATGAATCCAACCTCCTCTTCTTCTTAATCTTCCTGCTTCCTAGTTTGGTCTGATAAAAAAGCTCCTCTGGATAGGGACTAGGTGTTTGCGATAGTGGTTAAGTATGTGGACTCTAATCTGGGAGAACCG